TCCATTTGAAAAGGTTCCTCAACCTCTGTGTCACCCTCATAATGCACAACTTCTTCCTCCTTAGATTCTTCATCATCTGTTTCTTCCTCTTCCATTTCATCATACTCTTTCTGTTTCTTTCCCTCAGCCATCTCTATGTCATCAGCATCACCCATATAAAAAGGTGGTACATCAATGTCCTCTTCACCTTCACAATCAGAACCACCACTGCCAACATATCCCTCTTCTTCTTCTATTTCCATAACAGCTTTCATTTTTCCTTTTACATTCTTGCTCTCTTGTGTGCAAAGACCAGTACCATGAGCTACACTGTAGCTACTACTCTGACTTTCAAATGCAACTCCTTCTTCATTAACAGCATAGATGGGTGCCTCACTGAGATCATATAACACAGGCTCTTCATACACAACAGTGGATAATTCTTGCCTCTCAAACTGGCTGCAAGGAGGTGGACATGCCCTCACTAGCAAATTTAAGACCTTAGACTCCTCAACCTGCTTCTTTACTAATTGCAACTCAGCATTACACTCTACCATCTCCAATCCTTTCTCCCCTAATTGTGGATTCTCAATGTGAAACAGCAGATCATATTCACTAAATCCTTGGGTTTCCATCACTGCAATCATATTCAGGTATGTTACATCTGAACTGCAGAGCTTCAACTCAAACATTTCTGAAGCATCAAAATAGAACCTAACATCCAAAATGTCATCATACAAACTGCAAAATGAAATAACAGAAAAATGGTTAATAAACAATTTTACTTAACAGATAGGCTAACATATAAACAAAGCTTTGTTTAAGTTAACATATAATTTGGACTCTGCTCTAGTTAGGAATTTTTTAAGTTAACATATAAACAAAGCTTTGCTTAAGTTAACATATAAACAAAGCTTTGTTTAAGTTAACTAATGGTGCTCTGCTCTAGTTAGGAATGATTTAATCCACTATGCTTCTCTGCTCTGCTCTGCTCTAACTAGGTAACACCTAATGCTGCTCTGACAATTTGGACTAAGAAATAACAATGTAATCCACTAATGCTGCTCTGCTCTGCTCTAGTTCGGACTCATGTAATCCAATATACTTCTCTGCTCTACTTAGGAACTAGCAATTAGAGTGCTAAACATGCAGACAGTAAACCAGGCAGTAAACCCTAACCCTAATCCCCAATTTCAGTTTGCAAAGATGGAACAATGGAACACTTACAGAACACCACCGATGCCATGAGTCCACTGATGGGCGGTGCTAGGGTTGGCCAACCAAATTCGCGCCATCTTTAGCCTCTGCTCCATCGACAACGCCGGCTCCGCAAAATCTTCGTCCTCGCTACTGTACTCCGAGCTGGAGTAGCAACCACTCCCATCGAGGCCTAAGCGGGGGAGGTCGCCGCCGCTCGCATCGCCCTGGCCATCGTCGCCTGCCGGAGTAGCCGAGGCTATCGTCGCCTAGGGCACATCAGCCGCGGGGGAGAGGAGGGCGTGAGGGACGAGCAGCCGCGGTGGAGGTGACAGCGCCTAAGCAGTTCGATCCATGACTACGGTGGCGTGGTGTGGCGGGCGGCGGGGCGGGCGGGGAGGCAGCCGCCGGCGAGGAGGAGAAGGAAGAGGGCAGAGCGGGGTCGGGGTGTGGCTCGACCGCACCAGCCGCGCCCTAAACGGTGCGAGCCGGCCTCGTCCCAGTCAGCGCCCAGTCAGCGCGCGGGCACGCGCGCACTGGCCAGCGTGTCGCCTGACGGGCGGGCCCAACCGGTCAGCTTTTCTGTCAATACGTATAAAACACACTTTTAGTCTTTTTTGCAACGGCTCGCCCCAATCTTAGTACTGACATGTAAAAATTACCAATCTTGATACCAATCTGCTTCTAATGCCCCAATTATGGTACTTTTGTGCAATTTACTCTATCAAAAGATATACAGTTGACCCCCTACACTTGTGGGACATCAATGCACAGCTGGGCAGACCCCACTCATGATGGCCGCCTCTACCGGTGGCCCAAACATCAAACGCCCCCACACAAACGAACTAAACGACACACGCAAGTCCAGGGCAACGGGAGCCAGATGGCAGCCGACCAACATCCAACATTAGAGCAGCCCTTTCTGACCACCAAGCTCCCAGCCAACACCTTGAGTTGCCCGACAAGCGCACGCACAATCAGACAGGCTCCACGCACGAGCGCACCCGGCCAGTGCGAGTGAAATAGCCCGATAGGGGTCGATGACGCTAACAGGTGGACCTAGGCGCACCCGGCACACTTGGGGCAGCGTGCATGATGGTGCACATGAGCGCAACGGAAAACCACCACTGAGAGGTAGCGGCCAAGTGTGGGGCGCCCACGGAGATTGGATGGATGAGGGCTCGCCAGGGAGCCATCGACGGGAGGCACGCCGCAAACGAATGACACATAGTACACTCTCACACGCTAAAACCCAAGAGATGAGTACTTGAGCATTCGTTGTAGAAGTAAAATATGTGGTGAGAATATCATACGAAAACCAACATGAAAGAAAACTTGAAAATCATGTTTGAAAGTTCTAAAAAAATCTGGAAAAAATCTGGGGTGTTAAGAGGATGATGTTCTATTTTCATGTGAAATTTTAAGTGAAAACACAAGGCAAATTCAACAATGAATAGTGATGTAACTGTTCGGAACTATATAATGCTGATTTTTTTCTTCATAGCTCATATCTCGTAAAGTGTTTTAACTTGAAATTTTACAAGGCAATAGAACATCACTCTCTTACAACCCTTATCTTTTTAAATTTTAAAGGTAAATGTTTGGGGCCGGGGCACCGGCCGAATGCCCGGCCGGTCACGCGCCACGCTGGCGTCGTGCGCCCACTCAAGCAGCCCCTCGCGCGAAGAGGCGTGTATTTGGTGAACCCAAACCTTATCTCTTCCTGCCTTATCTCTTCCCATGCACTTCATCTCCTACCTTCAGCCGCGTCCTTCCCGCGCCATGTTTCTTCTCTTCCTTCCCCGCGTTGCCGCGAAACCACCTCAAAGCACATTTCAGTCGCGCCGCCGTCCCCCCGCTCCATTCCTTTTCCTTCTCTGGCAAGGCAGGTAGGGAGGCCCCCGGCCATGGGGGATGCCTTTTTTCACAGGAGGATCTGGCGCTGCTCTGGGGGAGACAAAGGGGGGATTGCGGCGCTACCTGCCAGGAGCTTGCCACCCATGGGCCCGGCGCCGCTAGAACAGAGTCCAACGATGCTGGAACGAGCAGCCACGGTTGCTACAACCAGCAGTTGTCGGAGGTGGAGACGGGAGAGGCTCCGGTGTTGCAACCGGGTTTTGTTTTGCTGGAACCAGAGTCCCGAGATGCTGAAACCGGAGACATTTTTTGCTACCATCTTTTTTTGATTTGCTAGGCCAGACTAAGTTTTGCTACCACCGTATTTTAATTTTGCTGGAAGCAGCCTAAATTTTTGCTACAACTGTCTTTTGGTTTTGTAACGGCGGCCATTTTTGCGACCGGCGACGGCGACGGAGGCCATTTTTGCTACAACCATGTCAATTTTTTGCCACTACCGTCTGTGTGTTTTGCTACATCCATTTTTCATAAGGCCATGGGTGCTTTTTTTACGACTGAGATGTGCCCGGCGATGATGAGGACGACATTTTTGTTGCAACAGCCTCGTTTTTTGCTACTATTGGCGACGTATTTTGCTACATCCATTTACAAGGCCATGGTGCTTCAAGCGCGGCGAGGAGTTCCGGCGGCGTTTCTGCTACAACTGTCTTTGAATTTTGCTACATCCGTTCAAGGATTAGCTGCAACCGCGGTTGAGTGTTGCATGTGTCGATGGCAGGCGGCGACGGAGTTGCGACGGCTTCATCACCCAGTTGCGGCCGACAGTGGAGGTGGCTAGCTCCCATCTGCAGGGGGCGGGGGCGGCGAGGTGCAGCCTGCTGTGAGATCAACGGCCGACGGGGGTGGCCTGCGGTGCGGTGCGGCGAGGGGCTGGTGCGGGACGATTTTCTTGGGGGGTGGGGGGATCTCGCCGGCGGGGGGTGGCCTGCGATGCGGTGCGGCGAGGGACGGGTGCGGGACGATTTTCTCGGGAGATCTCGCGCGGATCTGACGGCCCTGGCTCGCGCATCGAACGGCTGGTGCTTGATCGGCCCAACAGTTAGGCCGGCGCACCGGCGCAGATCAGGGTCCAAGTTTTTTTTTAGAGAGAATCAGCGCCCAAGTTTAAAACACCGTTTTCCCGTGGTTTTCATCGGTGTCCGCCGAATGTTTGTTTCCGTGTGACATTTCCCACAAGTAAAATATATTGGCCGTATGCATCGATCTGATACAGAGGCCGGGGAATCCCTTTTTAAAAAAAAATATTGATATACGCATAGTAATAATAGTGGTACTTGCAATAATAATAACAAGCAGTTACTCTTGCTTAACCGTCTCAACTTCTTCCCTCCACGCTAACCCAACTCCGAAGGCGAAGCGAGATCAATCACCCACCCCCACCCACGCCCTATTTAGCTAGCCCCATCATCAGATTTCTATAATCGCGAGCACGCTATACACGATACGTACACAAAAGCAGAAAAAAGATCAGGACGACCCCGACGCACCACCACCTGCTCCTCCCGGCGGCTGCCTGCTCGATTCCCCAACAGCAGGGTTGGTTTGATTCTCATCATCCCTTCTGCTTGCTTCCGATTTCGTTTCTCCCCGTGAGCCTCGGATTTTGGATCGCGGCGTTCCCCCACCCCCCCTTGCTCGAGCTTTCCGATTCGTTCGGTGTCATCGCGCCTTCTCCGATCGATCCGCTTCCTCCTCCTGTTGATGATTCTGTTGACCCGGCCCGGTCGACTCGATCGGCTTTACCGGTCGGTTTCGTGGCTCCTTTGCGTCTTTGGCTTTGTTATGTGAAATTTTCTGAAATTGGCGGAGATATTACAGGCTCAGCTGTTGTTCATGAGACTGATTCACCCCTTTCGTTTTCCTGCGGTTTCCTGATCAAAATTGATTGATAGATTTGCTAATTCCGTATGTGTTGGTTCCTATTTTTGCAGGTCAACGACAGTACCTATCGCGCGATGGGTTTGGGACTGAGATTGCCGTTCTTCCTACTCCTCTTGCTGCTGGTCAGCCTGGGAGCCGCACAAGGCCGGAGCACAGGTATATCTCACACAACAGCCCTTTCCAATCCCATGATGCTAGTTATGTTGTTTATTCATCTCTAAATCGACATCAGTGGCTCCCACATGTAAATCGGGAAGCACCCTTAAGAACATGTAAATCGGGAAGCACCCTTAAGATTTTTTCTGCGCACAGCTGATGGAGGGTGGTGAGCTATTTAGGTTGGTGTTGGAATTAGAACTGGAATTAAGGATACCCTTGTTGTGAAATCATCTTATGCGAGTTCCCAGTATTGTTGTCTAAATTGAAGTTGTCATATCTTTCATCTGCTTCCTTGATATGATTTGCATTTGCATTGTAAATCATGCATGGTTCTATAAGCATAGACTTTGGATAGCCAATTTCATTGTTAACATCGTCAACTTCCAGTATATGTTGATGCTTGGTTTTGTATTCTTTCATATACTGTTGTTCGTTTCTGTAATTCAAGGCTTAGATGGGGAATGTGCATGAACAAGATACAACCGTGATACTGCATAACGTGGCAGTGTTAGAAGATTCAGGCATATGGATATATTTTTCCTTGTGTCCGCAATTGTTCTGGCCAGTGACATCTGATTTATTTGTTTCCAGTTTTTCTTGATATCAAGGAGGCTCGAGACCCTGATCAAATCTTGATGGATCAGATAACTTCGAGCAAAACTCCCGTTCGTGTTGAGAGGGGTAGCCCACTATGCCCAGCTTGCGAGAAGTTTACAGATGAAGCTCTTAGCTATCTTAGTCAGAAACAATCACAAGATAAGATGATGGAGGTCCTTCATGAAGCTTGTTCTCAGACATTCTCGTTGGAAAAGAAGGTAGTAATTCTGAACACTTTGGCTTGTAATTTGGTACATACTGAGTTTTAGGCACTGTAAAAAGATTGATAAAAAGATATACATGCATAGTGTTTATATTTCCTTGATAAATGCCATGCTAGAAGATACCCTAAACAGAAATAGTTTATAGATCTTTTAAGCATGGACATTCTATCTCTGCAGTGTGTTGAGTTGGTGGACTCCTATGCAACTCTCTCATTTGCCAAGATCGCTGAGATCAAGCCGGAAGAGTTCTGCAAACGAAATGGCCTCTGCAGGGACAATGCTCTTCTGTCTGGTGTGAGAAGTGAGAGCACATGTGTGTTTTGCCACCACCTCATGGATGAAGTTTTGTCCAAACTGAAAGATCCCGATGCTGAGGTAATTCCTTTATTCCACTTGCATCATCTGTGCCTTCACCTTTACCTTGTGTCTTCCTTTAATAATTTCCATGTGATATCTGTAGTTCGAGATAATTCAAATTCTCCTCAAGGAGTGCAAAAAGATCGAAGGTCACGAGCAGCAGGTAAGCTATATCTGGCTCATCTTTTAAAAACAAAATATGCGCAAAGGAGATATCTTGGCTTCTTCAGTTAATGTTCAATATGTAGCACACACCGGGTTTGATATTTTTCTTATTCGACAGTGCAAACGATTGGTCCTGCAATACATCCCTCTCATCCTGGTCAACGGAGAGAAGTTCCTCGAGAAGAACGATATATGCACCATCGTCCAAGCATGTGATGCCGGCAAAAAGACGGTGGTCGGGTCATTCTCCGAGGAGGGTTTGCTGCGTGATGCATGAAGGTAGAAAGGCTACACCAAGCCGCGTGAACCCGGAGGGAACATAATGCACTAGTTCTTCTTGTTGTACATAGGTGTCTAAAATTCAACTTGCTGTTGCCTTGTGCTGCTCCTGCATTCTGTGGATGCTTTGTATTATAAAGGGAGCGGCATGACGAACAGTATATTATGTCAATTTGAAGCCGTGTTGTACTTATTACTTGGTCAATGTTTTAATTTGTAATGGCATCTGAACAACTGTAGATACTAAATCGAGTTTCAGTCTGTCTACTAAATCAATGTTTTAATCTTGTCATATGCCTTGTTCTGACGATCAGATTTCGGTCTGTGAAGAGTAGATTTTCTGTCCCCTTGGCCGTTGAACAAGTGAATCGCCCTACCAAAGAGTTTAGTTGGCCAAATTTTGGTTGAGGTTTTATTTGCCAATGGATTGGCCAACTTTGGCTAGAAAAACTTTGGCAACTTTGTAGTACCATAAAAAATAAAAAGCACACTATTCCAAACATTGGTATTCTACATTAAAAACACGTTAATAAATGCACGGCAACATGATTTTCTGAACTGTCTAGATGAAACAAATACCAATGACGGGACGAGGCTCCTGTGACGTACTATCTCCGTCCTGGTTTACTAGTCCCCTATGTAATTTGTGCTAAATTTTGATTAAAGATTTTACTGATAAAAATGTGTGCATGTCAACAAAAATTATATACTTGGATTTGTATTTGAACATAGTTTTCAATGATATTATTTTTTGTGACATGCATGAACATTTTCTTAGTTAAATTTATGATCAAAATTTGGCACAGATTACAATAGGGGCCAATAAACCAGGACGGAGGTAGTAGCACAGAGCTGAGTCCACCATGACGATTCTTTTATGTCATTGAACTTTTTCTTGAGTGAAGGGCTCCACGAAAAGAACAAACCAATATCATTTACAAGCTCGGAAGAGAAGTAGAACAAAATGTTGTACTCCCTCCATTTCTGTATATAAGACATTTTGTTTTCCATGTCAAATTTTGACTTGTAATTTTGGTCAACAAAATATAGATTAGATGTCATCCAAAATATATCATCAGAAAGTTCTTTGAAATGTGCATTCAATGACATGCTTTCTATTGCATGTAACTCTTTTTTGGTAAAATTAATGATCAAAATTAGACATAGAAATATGAAACGACTTTATATATAGACATGGAGCGAGTAGGTAAAATGCAACCAAATAAAATCCAATAATATCTTGACCGCAAGCACAAGCAACCATGCAATGTGAGCGAAGAGAGATGGGTAGTGACTTTTGGTCAAATCATGTTTACCCTATAGTAGCACCAACGTTTTGGACTATGGCTACCCGTAGTGGGCGTATCATAGCTAGTGCTATTATCCATGTCAACCAGACAATTTTGATGAGGTAACTTAGAATAAAATAAAATAAGATTTGAGTATCATATTATAATACCCTATCATAATAAATATTATACCACTATATATTTGCATGACAATACATAAGATCATCTATAAGATACATCTATGATACTATGCACAACACTAACTTATGATACTACCCACTACAGGCAGCCTAAGAATCTAAGGGCACTCCAATGCTCGTCTCTTAGCACGTTATTATAGGCAAAATGATGATGTAGCACTGTAATTAAAAAGGAGTGGAGTTTTATCTTACCTAAGAAATGACTCTTTAGCTTGATGCAGAGTTTCTCAGTCCGAGCTCAACGGTGAACAGCAAAATAAATTTAAAAAATAAAATTTTAAAAAACTGATTTTTTGTGACAAATGTTCCGAGTGCTTGCAAAGATTCGTCATGGAATCACATTCCTGGAAGGCATGGCAAAAACAAAATCAATACTCTGGAAATGCTGCTTTCCAAAGCATTTTGGAGAACCGATTTTACCTTTTTTTGCCATGAATTCCACAAATGTGATCTCATAATAAAAATTTGCAAACTCTTAGAACATTTGTAAATGTTTGTCACAAAAAATCAGTTTTCTTACAAAAAAAATTGATTTTATTGTTCACCAGAGCTCATTTGAGCTCGAGTTGTGAAGGTTACTTTCCCTCTTAACTCATTTTTCGGTGGAGTGAATTTAATGATCTGATTTTTTGTGGCTCATCTTCTTAGTTTTCACTTCTTTTCTTCCCTTTATAGCTAGGCCATAGTGTTAAAATTCCAAAAATCATCCTATTAAGACTTTTTTTCTTTGGGAGTCTTGCCTTTTCTTTTGTCTAGAGCCTCGAATATCACAGTATAGAAAAGGGAAAAGATTCCCACCACCCAGTGGATTACATGCACTGCGTCCGCCGCCTCCAATGTTCAACACGTGTCATTCTTAACCTTATCTACTCTTCATCCTTCTCATCTACTCCCTCCGTCCCAAAATAAGTGTCTCAAGCTTGGTAAAACTTTGTACTAGAGCTAGTACAAAGTTGAGACAGTTATTTTGGGACGGAGGGAGTATTTATTATTTTCTCCGTCCAGATAGCCGCTCCATGTCTTCCTCTGTCAATCTCGCTCATACCCTCACTTGCAGCCGTGCTTCAGGACAGCCACACGCCACAAGCGCCGCAGCAAGCCAGTCAACCTGCACACTGCTGCAAGCCGCACTTTCGAGTCCGCCGCCGGTGATCGTTGGACGCCGCCGCTGGCCATCCTTTCTCCTCCTCCTTTACAACTCCTCCTTTCCCCGTGTCCCTGTGTCCGCACGCAACCATGGCCGTCGCTTGAGCGCGCACGCCCGAGCTCTGCTCCAGCCACCGTTGGCCCAGTTGCACCGCTCCGGCCTCCCCTCCTGCTGTCTGTCGTCGCTCCGGCTGACGATGTTTTTTTATACTTTCCGCAACAAGGGCCTTGCTGCAAAAGTCCTTCTGTGCAACATCATCTCTGTTGCAGAAATTTCTCAATTCACATCGCAGACAACATCATCTTTCCAGTCACATTATTTATGTCGTGAAAGTCCTCCTGCAACATCATCTATGCTTCAAAAACTATGAAGACGGAAAAAAATATCCACAACATCACCTTTGTTGCAAAAGTCCTCCCGCAATCATCTATGTTGCAGAAACTATGAAGGCGAAAAAAAATCTGCAACACCACCTCCGTTGCAAAAAGTCCCCCCGCAACGTCATCTATGTTACAAAAAAGGTTGAAGACAATAATAAAAAAAATCAGGCGAAAAATAACGCTTTGGTGGTATGCAACAAAACAGTTGTTGTAGAACGAGTTGTGCAACATCTACCTTATTGCAATTTGCGACATATCCCATTGCGGAGATCCGACGGCTATTTATGACGCAATCCAACGACATATCAGACGGCGAATGTTTTCAAATAACCCACCGGCGGATGCGTAGGGTGCCAAAAAAATTGGGCTAGCTAATTAAATGAAAGGATTTCAAATCAAAATCTTTGCCAATTCAACAAGGATGACCGTGTTAAGAGACAATGCATTGGGTGCATCGATCAATCAAATACTACAATGTACTAGTACGAAATATTATAATATCCCCAGCACGAGCAACAGTACAACGCGAGTGAAGAAGAGATGATGGGGCTGACAAGGAGGGAAGGGAGGCAGAGGCGAGTCAACCCCAGCCCGCCCGGTCACCGGCCGGAGGGGAGAATGGCGGAGACAGCTCCGACCCACCGGCTCCGCGCGCGCGCCGAGGCGGCGGTGGCGTCCCTGGTGGACGTCCGCCTCCACGAGATGCCCCCGCTGACCAGCGCCGCCTCCACCTTCTTCTTCGTAAGCCATCTCTCTCGTCGGATCCGCCTTCCGAATTCCGCCACCAGCGGAGAACGGAAAATCCTCACCCCATGGCTGACGCAGATCCTGAGCGCCTACTTCGTGGTGCTGCCGCTGCGGGACGAGGGGGCCATCTCGCTGGGCCTCGGCGCCCTCCCGGGCCTCTTCGCCGGCTCGCTCGTGCTCACCATCCTCGCCGCCCCCGTCGCCTCCCTCGCCTTCTCGCTCCCATCCGTCCCCAAGTCCAGGGTCCGTGCCTTTCTCACTTGGGTCGTTGCAGTTTGCTCGTGTTTAAACGGAAACAATTCAACCACAGCAGACAAAAGCAATGCAAATAATGCAAGGATCCAACAGGACAAAACTGTACTTCCCTAAACATCACACCACCAAGACAAGAATTATAAACCAAACGCCTAGTTGGACTTAGTTTAAAACACACACACACCTTCGCCAGAACCTATTTACTTTAGCAGAAAAAAATGTATGTTTTTGCAATGATCTGCTATTTCATGTGGTTTATGTCTAGGGCTGCAAGTCAATTTTAAATATAAGCTTCTGTTATTTTCCTTTGACGAGCCCCTGTTTTTATTCAGGTAATTGGCGATGATTTTATGAAGTTGAAATTTTCCAGTACTCCCTCCGTTCCAAAATAAATGTCGTGGTTTTAGTTCAAATAAGACTTACTCCTTCCGTCCCATAATATAAGAACATTTTTGACACAAAAACACTCTTATATTATGGGACGGAGGGAGTATTTTGGAATGGAGGGACTAGCAATTATTTTTCCTTCACTGACACAAGCTAATTCCTATCACCTGTACCTGCAATTTCAGGCTTTGGTTTTGATACACAGGTTCTTCAGCATATCCCTTCTTGTATTTTTTGTGCTTTGGCTTGCCTCGAAGCCGGGCTCCCCATCTACCGCCCAGGTAACACACACTGATAACATGGTGGATTATTTTCTCTTTTTTTGTATGCATGATTAGTTTCCCTGGAGTTTGCAAATATCCCATGCTGATATTACACCGGAAAAAATGTTTTTGAATCCATCTGCCATCTTGCACTCCGGCCACTTTGCTCGCTTTCTAAATTTCCTAATCGAAGAAGGCAGGGCCAAACTTATTTTTGTTTACTTTTGTCAATATTATGATCAAGTCAAGTGAAGATGGTTCAAATAAACCTGCTGGGTGGGGAAACCATAGCTGGTTATACATAGTTGTGAGAATAAGCTTCTTTCTCTGGGTAAGCCATTTCCTGTTACATGATCCTGTCCATGTTTTTGAGATTTAAGTTATCGTCCATTTGAATTACTCTCTTCATCTGAAGGTTGCTTTGCTTAATCTCATTACAATATCATCCACTTGGGCAAGGGTAATTGATGTCATGGACAGTGAGGTATCATTTGATAACTGCACCAGAATATATCGGCAACCCCTTAGACATTTTGGATGTTCTTTTCAAATCCTTATCTCTCTCTTGATTCAGTCAGGTTCAAGATTGTTTGGTTTTATCGGGGCTGGTGCTACGCTAGGGCAACTTTTTGGTTCTTTGTTTGCTGCAAGCATGGCATGGATGGGACCCTGTACGTATCTAGGATGCTCCTCCGAATAACATTATAAGCTCCTGTCTGATTTTTCATGGATGCAATGTCATTTACTAAAATTTCCTCAGTTCTGCTCCTATTTTCCTCCCTCTTGATGGAACTTGCTGCGCTGTCATCTAAAGGAATTTGCATTGATGCTAATCATGGTTCAACAGAATTGCCATCAACAGGGTATGTATTCCTTCTGGGCATGAGTTACAAGTTCTTGACTCATTTTCCTGTTAATTTTGACATGAGTAACCAGCATGTTTTATGTACAAAATTTCTTGCTTGATTAACCTTAGCGAACTTTGAGCCGCAAATACTAGCTCTGAAATCTGAATAGTCCACTTTATGACTAACTTGGAATGATTTTATTAGTTTCAACAATTTATGATAAAAAATGGGATTTACAATGGTGGGCTTTCACACTATTTTTTAGGTGTTACTGAATGATTTTATTTGACTTGTTGGTGCTTCTTTGTGTTCACAAGTGAGAATTTAAGACATCCCAATTTATTACAAACTGCAGAGCAGAACCAAGTCAAAATACCGAGCTTGGTGATGAAATGTCTTCACTGGTCACTTCACCTAGAACACCTTCCCAATCTCAAAAGACAAAGCCTGGGATTTTTGTGATGTTTGAAGGTTTCTGGCTGATCATGCGCTCGCCCTACCTGATATACATATCTCTGTTTCTATGGCTGAGTGCAGCTGTCTCATCCTTCTTTTACTTTCAGGTATGATTGTTCTCCTTTTGTGTATGACATGGATGATAAGTTGTGCCATGCTGTGAGCATGTTGCTTCCTTAAATAAATTGTTAGTACAGAAAGGATCCTCCATTTACTCACCCGACCTTTTCTCCTTGTTTTCCAGAAAGTAACTATAGTTGCTACTACAATATCAAGTCCAACTGCCAGAAGGAGAACATTTGCACTGATAAATAGCTTTATAGCAGTTTTTATTCTTGCCGGACAGCTCACTTTGACGGTATTTTTTCCATCTGGAAATTATCCTTGTTTTACTCTACTTCATTACCCCCTTTTCAGTGTGAATAAGTGAATATCACCCAGATAAGTTGTCACAAAAAAAAACTTTTATGCCATAATGCATTGTCGAAGTGTATACATATTATTAAAAGATGTAAATATAATAGAACTTACATCACCTCTCTTAATATCTATCCCCTCCGTCCCATAATATAAGAATGTTTTTTACACTCCTTAATGCAAATCATAATTGCAATAGTAATCCATCATAACTTCCACTTCAGGATGAGCACGTCCACAATGTAAATTGCAGTATAGGATTACTGAAGTAAATTTGTAAATGTGCACCTCCAGTTTTTGCTATTTTTTCTGTGTAAAGTGTTTGCGTGAATATTTTTTGTGGAACACCCGGTTATTACTTTCAAGAAAATAAACCTTCCATCATGTGATGGAATCTCAATACGCTTCCCCTTCGAAACTAATTCCTGTGCACACTGAGATGATGTCAATTAGAGACCCCATGAGTTCTGCATTTCTATTATCTCAAGGGACAAACTTCGTGCAGTCTAGTCCAACTGATGCATGCTGTGACACTAGCTGTCTAACTATTCCACAACGATATCTGGTAGTGAATAAAACAATATAAATCAACAAGGGTCTTAGCCAAATGGTAGTTAGAAGATTCTGCAATGACCAACGTAGATTAGTGGTTTTCTTTTCGTTCGCACGACCTGTTTAGATCATAGATATTTTACGTCTAATCTGAAGAGGGTATTATGGTAATTATACCATTCTTGTAGCTCTATCAATTTCTGGGTATGATTTGAACAAGTATTTATTTCAGGGTCATATCCTTACAGTAGCTGGTGTAACAGTTGCTATTTGCGCATCTCCATTTATTGCTGCCTCAAATTTGGTTGCCCTTGCTGTATGGCCAACTTGGGTTGCTGTTGCCGTCACTGAAACAATTCGAAAGGTATCGGTTGACCAGGCCACTCTTACTGAACTTTCGGTACCATTTTTCTACCATTAGTTGTTGATATGAAAAAGATGCATGTAAAGGTAAGGCATATGCAAAAGCTGAGTAGCCATTGCCATTGAATTTGTGCACACGCACTATATCTTTAGTTTTGGTTTAGTACCCTCAAATGATTTCATATGAAAGAGCTTATGCGTTGTAGTATATTTTTCCTATTGTTAATAAGCTGAGAAATCATCAATTGCAGGATTCATTTTCGTTTCAGTTCGAATATTAGTGCAGCTTCATCTAGTTGCATCTGGAACCAATGCATGATAGCATCTGTTATACTCAAAATTAATCAAGGCGCTGGTTCTGTTTGTAATTAATGTATCAAAAATCATTATACTGCCGGTGGTTTGCAAAATGCTCGTTTGGTAAAAGGGTTATAGCCACAACCGATTTTCTTCATGTACCAACACTGATTTAGGCAAAAGAAATACTGATTTAGAGCATACTGAATGTTGTTTGGTACTAGGTGAACTTTGTGAGTACCTACTAATTGTTGTATTTACTACTCCCTCTGTTCCAAAATACTTGTCGTGGTTTTAGTTCAAATTTGAACTAAAACCACGACAAGTATTTTGAAACGGAGGGAGTTCATGTTTTTATTTCTATATTCAGGTATACTCTGCGATAAACACATAATTATTCTAATTTGTTGTTTCCCAATCTTTTTCCTTCATTGCAGGTAACTACCTATGTTTTGACTAGACCTGGAAGGGAGTTATTATTTACTGTTGTCTCACAGGATGAGAAGTACACAGCCAAGGTAAAAAGGAGTTATGTAATTTGAGCATGCTAACCAGTAGGAAACATGATGAGGCATGAATTGGTCTCCATAGATGATGAAATGATAATAGCATATAAATGGGATATAACCCATTTGCTCTCATTTTGACCGGTTTCCACTAGCTGTCCACCTGGGCCCAGAAGATTTTAGTAACTTGGATCACTACAGTAGGGATCAAATGATCTCTTTTAGAAACATGATACTCGGCGTCAAGTGGACAATTTAAGCATTCAATTTTTTCCTTTCTAATTAATTGCGGCGCATCGGGGGAACTACTTCTCTCTGAAAATAGAAGTAAATATCAGTAACCTAAAAAGTCTAATTTCGGACACAGTATTTGCTACTGAGGAGTGCTTTTTGCTGCTGTTGAGTACTTACCTTATTGCGAGTGGCATATTTTTTTAGAAGTATCTTGCCTGATATTGGAAAATCATGTGGATATTATCTTGTTTTGCTGCCCATTTTCCGTGTTGATTTTGTCTTATTAATTTGGCTAAATCAAAGTTTTTCTTGTAGGTCTGTATAGATGTTATTGTTCAAAGGCTTGGTGATGCGACAGCTGCTGGAATTTACACATTACTTTTCAGCAGCTTTGAGAAGAAAATATCCATTGTCAACCTCTATGCATTGCCGGTATGAATCATGTCTGATCATTTACTTGCTCATTTCTGCTTACCATATCATATTGTATGTTTAATGTGTTTTTTTAATCTCTCAAAGATAGCTCCTTGGCAATGTAGTCTGTTTGATTGTGCCTTGGGAGGTAATTCTTGATGCAGATGTTGCACTAATACTTTGGTAGAAACTAATTAAGATGGGGAATTTGAGGATTTGCCACAAGTTTGTTTACACTTTGAGGATTTGCCCCTATTTTACTTGTCACTGATTATTTGCCACACCTTTCCCAGATTCTTGATGATTTGCCCTTATGCACGGTATGGAATTGCAATACAAAATCAGTGACCAAACTGCACTGGCCCAAATTAGTTAGCTCCCCGTTTGACTATTTCCATTCCTCTGTTGATCCGTATTCCTGCTGGCTCGCCATGACTCGCAGTCGTGTCTCTCGCCGTCGTGCTTCATGAACCTGCCTTGTTCGAGAACAAGTAGGCCGAGGTCAACGACCTGAAAAGAGAAGCCGAGGTCGACGACCTCAACCAGCAGCTCGCCAGGCGAAAGCATCCGCCGTTGTCAACCACTATGATTCCATCAAGTTCGCTTCAAACGCAAATAGGAAAAAGCTTCCTGTTATCTGTGTGACCCCACAACCCGCACGCATCCCCTCCTGGGCCGCAGCAATGGCCACCGCCGCCTCCCTCCCCTCCGGCGCTGCTCCTTGCCTCCCGTCCTCTTCTTGGAGGCCATGGCGAAGACCACGCGCTGGTGCCTGGTGGTCTCCAAAACACGCGTCATCGACCCACTAGGCCGCCTCGCCAAGGGGACGGACGACGACGACCGCCCCTGCTTTTGGTCAAGCGCCGGCTGCAGTGCGCGCACAGGCTGCGTGACCTCGCTCTCGTTGCCCACCGCGTTGCTCCCCAGTCGCCTCCCCTGCCCGTTCCTGCGCCTCGACACACTCCTCGCCTGCAACAACCTGTCTGGACGATGACGATCAGACGGAGCCGGCCGTGCCGCCGTGCAGCTTCCGTCTACCTTCATGACTTTGGACAAGATGAGGACGAAGGGCATTTTAGATATTTTCTTGTGGGTCTGTACAATCGGGGGCAAATCATCAAGAATCTTAGAAATATGTGGCAAATAATCGATGACAAGGAAAACTAGGGCAAATCCTCAAAGTGCAAACAAACCTGTGGCAAATCCTCAAAGTGCAAACAAACCTGTGGCAAATCCTCAAATTCCCCAATTAAGATACACTTTTCTCGTGTGAAGATGCTTTGACTGGAAAAGTGTCCATGTCTGGATATTTGGCTGCTCAAAAGTGTGTATGCTCCCACCAAAGCGTTCAAAGTCTGGGGAGTTCTTTGCTAGCTTTTTTTTTCTTTGCTAGCTGAACTGCTGAACACAACTGAATATATAATACATGCTGAAATTTAAAATATCTTGCTTCAAACCTTTTACCTATCTCTACTTGTATGTTAAAACCTGGTTAACTTTGCCAACTACTGCTGACCCTTCTTATTCCACAACTAGTACAATTTATGGGTTTGCTAAACACAACTGCCTGAATTTTTGATAACTCAGTGGATTTTGTGGTTGCTGGATCTGCGCAGAGATGCGTTTGAGAGATGTGCTTTTAGGAATAATCAATGAGCTGGGTGGGGTTTGAGCCCATGACCTCTCGCTGCACACCTTACTTGACTACTGCCACCATACCAGTTGCACTCTTTTGTACTCCCTCCGATCCAAATTAATCGATGCAGCTCTAGTACAACTTTGCACGAGAGCTGCGTCGATTAATTTGGATTACAGGGAGTAGTTAAGGTACACCTTTTGTTTTTTTGTTGTGTAATTACACACCTTTTCGGAATCTGACTGTGTTTCATTGAACTCTCAGCGATTAGATTCCATGCGGTCCCTACAAATTTCCAGATAAATATCTTGGTGTTAACTGTGCAGCATTTTTTGGGGGTCCTGGGAGATATGTCTAATGGTTTGTGCTTACCTTTTGTTACCAGCTCTGCTTTGTCTGGCTTCTCATTGCATTTCATTTGGGACGGCTCCAGACAAATCTTGCCAGGCTTCAGGCAGCTTCTGACCCGTCCTAGTTCCTCCCAAACATGCATCTGGAACCTAAAAAATAGGTATCGTGGTGCTTCTTGATAATCTATCAAGACATGTGGCTGAGTAAGGCTGTTTGTGCCTGGCCTTTACTTTTCTAAGATATCGACTCAATACAGGGAAGTCGTTCGAGAATGCAGAAGTACGGTATGTCACGAAGACACGAGGTTTTTGCCACCAGCATTGATTTTGTCTGCACATTTCAAAGGGGCTACAAATTGACTACACGGAAATTCGAATATAACACTGGAAGTAACTATCTGAAGGGTGAACATAGAAGAAGACAAATAGTAGCAGGCCAGCAGCATAGAGTATAACAATACGCGAATTTTGTGTGCTTGTAGTCCATCTTTTCACGGCGGAAAATTGAGTCATGTAAACTGTAACTCTGTAAGAGCATGTACAGCCGGAACTTGCAAACCGACCCCTCAAACGCCCGCGGACGCTACCGGGCGCGTCCGCGGACAGGACCGGTCACGCCTCATACTTGGTGCCATGCATCCGAGTCTCTCATATTTCATTCCCTAGATCCATACAAACCATGCAAAAGAAATCCTAGGTATAGACACATGCTAGCTAACTACGCTTCGTCGTCGGAGATATCCATGATGTTGGTGCTGGGCACTAGGTAGATGGGCGGAGGGCTTCGTTGCTCCTCATCCATATGCGTGAGTATCTCGTTGACTTCCACCGCGTGCTCCGTCTCCGGCTCCTGTCGACGGCGGCATTTGGCCTCTGCCTTCGATTTTGACCGGAGGGAATCAATGACCGCCTGTTGCTCCACCTGTAGATATGCGCCCCTAGTGTCTCTCACATCCTCCTCCATCTCCAAGCCCTTCTTCGGATCCACCGCATCCGGAGGTAGCTCTGCGGCGATCCGGGATTCACGCCTTTCTTGAATTTGCTCAAGGAGCTGCAGTCGGTGCTTCTTCGTTAGATACGGGTAGCTCCTTACTTGGGGGCATGGCTACTAGTGGTGGCGGACGCCGATTGAGAAGTGGTGGCGGCGGCGGACAGGAGGGGGAAATGTGGACAGGTAGGGTTCCAGTGTCAGCGGTTGGCTTATATAGCCGGGCTAGGGAACTACGAGGCCAACTAGAGTGGTGCCACGCGGCGCCAACGGTCTGACGGAGGAGGCGAGCTTTGGATCGCCAGTTTTCAGAGTGTTTTAGTGCAGGACCCCATTGTCAGGCCGACGTGGCGGACACGCTCGGGCCTCCCCATATCCGATTTAGATTTGGACTGGATATGAGGGGTGGTGGTCAGCCCGTGCGTTTAAGACCCTTTTGAGACGTTCGTCTGGATTAGTTTTTTTCTACTAGTCACTGACCGTCCGCCCGGGTGTTTGAGACGGGTTTAAGGCGGCCAGTAGATGCTCTAAGCATGCTAATTCATTGTTTATGTGGAAAAGTAGGGCGGATAGGTTGGGCATTGTTCTGCTGTGCTGCATAAAATTGTCTACTGTCCAAATCCACTGCCAGACTGCATATCATTTGCAGAGATGTGTAACTAGTTTTACGGGCAACTATCTGATGAACCCGGACTACTGATGCTACAATGAAATATTTCTGTTTTTTTTTGGTGTGTGTGTGTGTTGTCTGATTTGAACTGGCTTCCCTATGAAATTTTCATGAAATTTGCAAGCCCCCCCCCCCCATCCCCCAAGGACATCTTTTCAGCCTCGGTTTTAGGCTCGGACGGCGTTTTTCGCCGAAAAACGGCCCAGCCACGCCCCCAGCGCCTCCCAGGACGTCAAAAAAGCGCCGGCAAACCCAGACGAAACCCGGCGCGTTGGGGGGCTCTTGGGGGTGTCGACAGAAATTTCGGCGAATCGTGTCTCATCATATGTCATTTTTCTTGGCTCACTTAATCATTCTCCTTATAAACTTTTGCTTGGGATGGGATGTGACCAGAAAGATGCCCTCTTTATTTCGCCGAGTGACCCTCAAGACATCAATTTTTTTGGTTCGGTGGTGTTCTTGAGATGCCAATGGCTGGAGATGCTCTTAATGTTAATGTGCCACCTACTCTTGTTTTTCTTCTCTCAGGAACACGTACATCTAAAGACGGCTTTGCATTTCTTTACAAGAAAACCCAAAGATGGAATGTTTAAGCACGTAGGATTAATGTGACAATGCACGATCTTTGTGCGCATGCATGAATTGAGGCAATCCAGAGAGATATAAAATGGCAGGAGGAAGAAGAAGACGGCAACATCGATCGTCCCTGTGAGCATTTGCTCTTGCGCTTCTTGACACTCCAATTTGCCAGAAAGAAGCAAACATCCATATTTGGTAGCAATGGCAGCGTCGAGGTGCAGCACCGCCTTCGTCTTGCTCGTCGTGGTCACGGTGGCGGCGGCGGCGGCGGCGGCGCTGCTGCAGCCGGCGGAGGCGGCAGCGGCGGCACGCCGCGCCGACGCCCACGTGCTCTGGTACCCGGGAACAAGGCAGCGTAGCCCCAGCGGCTTCAGGGGTTTCCCTCGCTCCAGGCTGTCGCCACCGTCCGCGGGCAGGCTAACGCCGCCGTCGCCCAGCGGCAGGCCGATGACGCCGCCGCCGTCCCAGGCGCAGGCGCCGCCGGCGCCCATCTCGCCCCCGTGCACCGCCGCGAACCCGCAGCCCGGCTTCCCTGGCATGCCGGTGGGCGGCACCGGCGGCTTCGGAGGGGCGTCGCCCTCGCCGCCGTCGGCGCCGACGGACTGCGTGACGCCGCTGGCGGGGCTGATGACGTGCGCGTCGTTCCTGACGGGGAGCGAGGCGGAGACGCCGACCCCGCAGAGCGAGTGCTGCGGCGGGCTGGGCATGTTCCTCAACAGCTCGGCGGCGGCGGACGACCGGTCGCTGCGTTGCCTGTGCCCGGTGATCCTCGGCGACGTGAACCGCATGCTCCCCAAGCCCATCGACCCCGTCCGCATGATGTACCTCCCCATCGCCTGCGGCGTCGTCCTCCCGCCTCAAGTCCTCTTCATCTGCTTCAGTACGCCAACGCCATTAATCTCTCTCTCTCTCTCGCTCTCTCTTTCTCACTCATGATGGATGCTTGATGATGATCTTGGAATCTATGCAGCTGGGCAGCCGACGCCGCCGGTGGTGAACCGCATTCCTGACTCCTGGAAGACCTCGTCTTCTTCAGGTCAACTACTCACTCACTAGCACAGTATACAGTACTACTTCTGAAAGTGAAAAAAATCCATACTGCTCTTGCATGGTTAAGCTCGATTGCTTTCAGCTGAATTCTGATGTCTCCATCTGCTGTGCAGCATTGTCGCCTTGAGCTGGTGCCGACGATCGGATTTGGTTACTGCTCATCACGCAGGCACAGTTTATCCCGGGACGTATCTATCAAGTTTAATTATTAAGATTACAAAAAACGTGAGAAACTAGCTGGTTACTACCAACTTTGCAGCCATGAGAGTGGTCAACGCATCATGGGCCAATTGTGGTGTAGTATTACTGATCGATGTAATAGCTAGCATGTTTTCCTTTTTCTTATTGAGAATGTAAACAAAAATACAAGAGCAGATTGCATCTAAGGGAGTATTGTTTCCCACTATTACATGGGTTTTCTGTCTGATGATCCTATAATGCCCATCTAGCCCTGGCTTGTGTTCAGTAACTTAGTCTTCCATATTGGTGTGACGATGAATGTCTTTTCATGACGTTTCTGTCTAGTCAAAGAGCTTTGACCATGTACAGGACATTTGCCAGACAATTTTGTCCTCGTCTTCATATGTCACTTGTATGTGGGATCCACCCGAGTAAAAACAGAAACAAAACTCCCCTCTCTCTATCACTTACACGGGGGAACCATGCTTAATAAAAGAGGAAAACAGAACTCACCCTTCCCACACTTTTACAGGTGGGGCCCACCTAAAAAGCAAAAGAAAAAAAAAGCAAATTTGGTAATTCTCACCTAGGTGAGATTTTTTTTAGAAGAGGGCCCAGCCCCGATTCCATTGCAAAGCAAAGAAATCACACCAGTACAGTACATCATAGGACGACAGCGCATAAACTACAGAAGTAAACACTACCGCAAACTATAGCAAAAGGAAGGAAGACGGCCAAAATGAAGGCAAATAAAACTAGCCACCTCCCCTGTCTAACTCCAGAGCCACAGGCTCAACATCAACTAAGACAAACAGTATCTAGATCCTCAGCCTGGATCCGGCCACATCAGCGGTAATGGAGCTTTGCTCGGAGACTCCAGCTCCCGCACCATGTTCTGGATTTGCTTCTTAACAGGGTCTACAGACAGCGGTTCCCACCGTGCAGCGTACGAGGCCGTCTTGCGCCACAACACCTGAATGTTAAGCCATTTGGCACGGTTAAAAAATAAGTCATTCCTGGTATTCCAGATGGCCCAGAGTCCGGCTGAATGCACAACATTTGTGGCACTCAAATTACCCCCTCTAAGCCAACAGTCTGACAAGGATAGCATGTTGACTACTCTACTGTAGCCAGTGATCCTAGATAGGTTTCTCCAGAATTCAATCATAACATCACATCCAAAAAATAAATGGTGGCAAGATTCATGACACGAACAAAAAGCACAAGAAAAGTCAGATACATTCTGTCTTTTAACTAGGTTATCTCTGGTCAGAATCTTGTTATTAACCAACAGCCAAAGAAAAATATGAATCCTGGCAGGGATCTTGATATTCCACACAGCAGGAGTGTTTTTGGGAAGCACACCCCTAAAATTAACTACATTATATAAAGATTTTACAGAGTAAACCCCACTGGGATTAAGGTCCCAAATAAGCGAGTCCTCATCCAAAGTAAAAAACAATGGATTTAGCAATCTCTACTAGCTCAAACCACAAAGAGATAAGCTCACTAGAAAAACATCTTCTAAAAGTAATCTTAAGGTTAGAGCCATCCCAAACTTGGTCTAAGGTGCAATCGTGCTCATTGGCAATGTTATATAAGTCCCAGTATAGAGTAGCTAGAGGGGCCGACCCAAACCAGTGGTCCTCCCAAAATCTGACTTTCTTACCATTGCCAACATTCCAAGAGTAACCAAACTTAGTAGCTTGGGCAGCCCAGAGAACCCCTTTCCAGAAAGGTGAAGCACCAGCAGAAGGGCAAGTAAAGATGTTAGGGGACTGGGTGTCATATTTAGCATCTATTATGCTTTTCCAGATCTTACCCTCATCTCTACTATATCTACTGACCCAAGAAGCAAGCAAACATAAGTTCATATATGAGAGATCAGTAATCCCTAGCCCACCATACATCTTTTTCATAGAAAGAGTCCCCCAACTAGCAAGGTGGTATTTGTGACGACCTTCATAGTCATCCCAAAAACAATGTGCCAGTTGAGAGTTAATAAGCTTAACAGCCCACTTGGAGAATTTAATATACCCCATAAGATAAGAAGGGATGCTGGCTAGGCAAGCTTGCACCAGTATCAACCTCTTACCAAAGGATAGCAGCCTCCCTCTCCAGCCAGCTACTCTTTTAATAATAGTGTGAACCAAAGGCTGGAGGTCCTCTCTTCTAATTTTAGAGTAGTGGAGGGGAGCACCCAGATATTTAATGGGGAAGGAACTTAGCTTACAACCCAAAGACTGAGCAAAACTAATAGCCTCATCCCTATCAATATTAATAGGAACCAGATCACATTTATGAAAGTTGATCCTCATACCAAAAAGTTGCTCAAAATAAGAAAGGAGCCACTTTAAATTCCCAGCATGCTCTAAATTCTTATCTAAAAACAAGAGGGTATCATCAGCATATCGCATACTTATGACCCCAGCTGGGTTAGAAGGAGGAAAAACCCCAGCAATCATGTTCTGATTAGCAGCTTTGGCTAGTATTCTAGTGAACACATCAACAGCAAGATTGAAAAGCAAGGGTGAGACAGGATCACCCTGCCTCACACCTTTGCCAGCAATAAAAAACTCACTATTGGTGTCATTAATTCTGACCCCAACAGACCCATTGTGAAGCAGAGAGCCTAATTTGTACATCCATTTAGGGCCAAAGTCTCTCCTTCTAAGCATGTCCAAAAGGAACTCTCTATTCACCATGTCATAAGCTTTTTCGTAATCTAACTTAAAACAAAACCCCTGGAGCTGGTTGCTAGCTACAGCATGCACCACCTCATGGGCTGAAACAATACTCTCCAATATAAACTTGCCTTTAATAAAAGCAGTTTGATTAGGAGAGATTAAATCATTGCAAACTGGGCCTAGCTTATTAGCAGCACATTTTGCAAAGATCTTGAAACTACAATTAATCATGGCAAGGGGTCTGAACCTGTCCAAGGAAACAACATTTGGTTCCTTTGGGACAAGGGTCAGAAGGGAGAAGTTGAGCATGTACAGATCTAACTCCCCCTTCTCCCAATCTCTAAAAAGTGCAAACAAATCACTTTTAATGAGATCCCAAAAATGCTGATAAAATAAAAAAGGGAAACCATCAGGACCAGGAGCACCTTCAGCATATGAGCCAAAAACTGCATTTTTAATTTCTTCCTTAGTAAAAGGGGTTTCCAAGAACTCAACATGATCAGTAGTAGCCATGCTAGACTGATCCCAAAAATCATCAACAAGTTTAAGATTAATAGCAGGAGAGTAGCCAAAGAGATTTTTATAGTAATCTACTGCATTATCAATAATACCTTTAGTGTCTTCAACTGGGCCACCAGCAGTTTCTAGCACAACAATATGCTTCTTCCTCCTCTTCTGATTGGCCAGGGCTTGAAAGTAGTTAGAGTTCAGATCTCCCTCTCTAATGTCCCTTTCCCTAGCTCTCTGCATGGCCTTGATTTCCTCTTTCTTCCAAATCTCATTTAACTCACCTGCAATCACTTTAATTCTAGCTTTAGAATTAGGAGAAAGAGGCTGAGTTTCTGCAAGAATGTCTAAGCAATTATATTCAACAACTAGTGTTTGCTTAGTCCTGTTTTGGGAAGCCTCATAGTTGAGACTCCACCCCTTGGTGGCTTTTCTAGTATTCCTAATCTTGAACTGCCAAATATCAATAGCAGAGGAGTACTTACAATCAGCATTCCAGGCTTTGTGAACAATCTCATCAAAGCCAGGAACTTCTAGCCACCACTTTTCAAATCTATAGACTTTATTCTTAGGAATAGAAATAGCATCAGAGTTGTAAATGAGAGGAGTGTGATCACTCCCAATTCTAGGTAAAATTTTAACCTGGCTAGCAGGAAAAAGCCTTTCCCAGTCAGCAGACACAAAAATCCTATCTAAAGCAGCCATGACTAGATTGTCTTGGTTATTGGCCCAAGTAAACTTTCTACCAGCATTCTTTATCTCAATGAGGCTGAATTTATTAATCCAGTCATTGAAGAGATCAGCCCAATGCTGGATGACTAGTCCGGTGTTCTTGTCCTCAGCAATTCTAACCAAATTAAAGTCACCTCCCACTATGGTGGGCCCAGACCAGTTATTTAGGAGGTCATGGAGCTCATTAATAAAATCAAGCTTAAATTCCTCATAAGCAGAACCATAAACAGAGATAAGCCTCCAAACAGTGTTATTACACTTGTTCTTCAGCAAACAAGAGATACTGTAAGTGAGTACATTACAAGCTATGATTTCAAATTTATCTTCCTTGACCCCCACTAATAAACCACCAGCAGTGTTATTAGCAGGCAGCCAATTCCAGATAAAACCATTCCTAGAGTCTATAGCCTCTAGCCGAGAAACACTAAACCCAGTTTTCTTGGTTTCAGATAAGCAAACAAAGTCAGGGCAGTGAGATCTAATGAGCTCCTGCACCTTAGGGATCTTATGAGGGCCATTAAGCCCTCTCACATTCCAAAATAGATCAATCATCTAAATCTAGTGGAAATTTTAGCTCGACACTTTTTGGACCTCTGACTTTTAGCCTCTATCCAAGTATAGGCATCATCAGACTCCATTTCCATATGTGGATCAGAGTAGTGGTCATTTTTAGTGTCAATAGTAGCAACAAAATTGTAATTATTGCAGTAATCTTCCTTGGTGACATCAATGTCTCCAGGAAGAAAAACCTCAGGATTATCCTGTTTAAACTTACCTAATCTATCTAGCTCTAATTTCTTAATAACTTCAACATTATTGCTAGCTTGAGAAGGATTATCTCCTATCACAATGCCAACATTGAAGGCTTTAGAAATTAGATCATCATTATCTAGACAAGCAAAAGAATTATGGAAGACCTTGGGGTTATTACCTCTAGGGGTCTCCAAGTTCTTCATCTGCTTAATTTCTTGAGCTTTGACCAGGGCTGGCTTCCCATCTCTCTTGATCCTGTCACTCATCC